AATAGTTGAATAGTTGAAGCGAGAATATCAAAAGTTGAATAGTTGAAATAATAGATTGAAAGTTGAAAATATAGATAGTCTATTCCAAAAGTTGAAAATTATTTTCAACTTTTGGATAGTTGAAGTGTCTCTTCGAGCTTTACACGTATGGCAATCAAAGTTCAAAGATGGATTATATTTGATGACCTCAATTTAGCTGCATTGAACGTACTCGAAGGTCTTAAACCTCTATTCTATCGAAATTCAACACACTTCACTATACCCACAACAGGTGAAACAGTTGACATAAAAAATGTTCTGCTACTTGCTACGATGAATCCATCGACGATTGGTGGTAAACTACTTCGTTCAATCTATAACTTATTCACTATTGTTACACTCGATGATTATTCAGACGATGAACTATATCTTATTCTCCATCGTTTATTTACTGGTGATCTAGAGAACCGTACGATCGATATGAACCGACTCGATGCCTTATTCAATATACATACATCATTGAAATTACGTGTACGACAAGGCACTCTTGAAAGAATAGGTGGTTCATACGAGCTCAATTTATATGATTTATCCAAGTTTCGAGATGTATTTCGTGGTTCCATTGTTCGTCAACTCTTCCATTATCAATATATCAATACGAGTGATGATGATAATCAAGAACATGAAACAATAGAAGAACTAAGTCCAGTCATGAGTGGATCCGATGCTCCCTTTTTATTTATTCGTAAACTTGCTCAAGTTGTATATGCATGTCAATTTCAAGACCAAAAAGATTTTGTTCAAGCGTGTGAATTGATTAATTCGAAATTTCCAATCAATTCAGCCTTGAGGAAACTGGAAAATGATTGTTCAGTTGATGCAAGTACAGCAACTGTTGTACGTATCGGTTCGATTTATATTATGACTGGAAGCAAAGAACCCTCGCCGACTGATATCGGTCTCATTTATACTAAGAAAACTGTTCGTCAATTAGAACTACTTGCAGCTGCCTGTCAATCAAAACGAGCTATTCTTCTTGAAGGAGATATTTGCTCACGAAAATCATCTCTTGTCATGGAACTTGCATGTCTTACACGTCATCGTCTAATTATTATTCCTCTACATGAAAATTTCGAAACAGTCGATCTAATCGGTTCTTGGCGACCAAATAGTGATCATGAACAGAAAGATCCATTATTCAATCAAATTGATACAATGTTTAAACAAATTATTAACGTGCTTTGTCTTAGTTTTGTGAAGTGAATTTGCAGGATCCTACTAAGATTCACTGGTAATTCTGTCCAGGTATCTGAGAAAATCATAAAGAGAGTTTTGTCAAGATTTCATTAGGTTTTAGCCAAGATCTGTTCTGGATCCTGATACAAGGATCCTACCAAGAGTAATAGTTATATCAGAGAAAGATCATACCAGGAATAAAACAGGATAAGCCAGAATTTTCAACTAAGAAATCCTGCCAAATTTCGATCGAATTCCTGAGAGGAACTATTCAAGAATACGCATTCTAAATGCTTAAAAAAACTACAGATATGATCAGGATCTTGATAAGAAAATATGAAGGCTCAGTTAAGAACTTTAACTCTGGGTTTAGACTTACAGACTATTCACAATTGAATTTTTGAGGATCCTGTCAGGAACCTAGCAAGAATGAATAGAATGATTCCCTCGTGTTTTTCGCTAGGATCAGGTGAGAATCCTTTCACGATTTGTAAATCTATAGATCACAAGAGAATTTCAAAATCAATGTTGAGAAATATCTCCAAAAAAAAAAAATAAAAAGATTTTTCAGAATCTTACTATGTTTTCGTTCAAAAGATAGCAAAATTCTGACAACTAGAGAATCTACTGGCATTTTTATCCTCATCTTTATTTGGTTCTTTTCGTAAACAAATAGAACGATCCTTGGCAACCTTAAAAAAAAGAATTTTAAATTTCTTTGAAGTTATATTATAAAATCGGTTTTGAGATTTGGATTGTACCCATGAATTATTTTTTTTTCTCTTATGAGGAAGAGAAAATTGAAAATTATTAAATTAGAATGTTAATTTGAATGTAATCATGATAAAATATTTTCGTTAAATATATATATATGTTTCGTGCCCTTCATCCTACTATACTTTTCATCCGTTACTATTCATCCCTTCCGTGCTTTTGAAGTTCTCAAACTTTTCGTGCCTTTCATACTATTGTAGTTTTGGTAAACTCGCTGATCTGCTTTTGAAATTTCGACACGTCGAAATTGCAGCAGAAGTTCTGCGAATTTAGAAATTGCATGGGAATTTCGACAAATGTACAAAATGCAATGGAATTTGGTAAATTTAAGAAATTCTTTTGAAATTTTACCAGCTTTGTTGGAAATTCGAAAATTTTTGGAATTTTGGCAACATCGTCGAAATTGCAGTACCGTCAAAATTAATTTAATTGAGATTTAATTTAATACGGAGTAAATTTAGCAATATTTATTCAACAAAAACTACTATTATAGACAAAATATTTTTTTCAAATTTTCCTCAATTTTAACTTTTGGCTACAGAACAGAACAGCACAACAGGATACGCATAGACATAAAAACAATTTCACAGTTGCATTAGCTAGTATTGCACCACCACACCTAATCAGCAAACCTATAAATATTCGTTTTTTCCATCTTGTAGTGAACTTTGTCGAAATTCCAATACGTCCTTCGATAAAAGTATATACAACAAATACTCGATGTTATTAAGGTCGAACAAAAGTTTTTGTCGAAATTCCTACTGTTATACTATTATATTTTGACGAAGTAATTGTCGAAATTCCAAAAGAAATACTGCAAAAGCAGAAATTCCAAATGAATTCCTGCTTTTGTCAAAATGCCAATGTAGAAATTCTCTTTGCCGAAATGTCGAAATTTCAAAGCAGAAATTCTAAAAGCAAGTCGGGAAGTAAACCGTAGCGTTCATGTGTTTTAACTCTTTCATCCGCTGCATGGTATTCAAATTTTTCATACTTTTCAACGTGTTCATACTATTTTGCTTTTCAAACTTTTAAAACTGAAAAAAAGAGTTGTGGCTGGTACATATAACAGTAGATCTCCATTGTTCGACACTTCTTGTTTCGAACAACTTATTAAAGGGCTCAGTCACATGTGGTGGAAACAGGGGCCGCAGAGCCCGTGAGGCTCGAGTCTCACCTGGTTTCCACTCACTTGATTTCTGTTGTTCACTGACGTTAAATAACGTACAATTGTATAAAAGCTATGAAAAGTATGAAAGGCATGAAAAGTCGAAATGCCTGAAAAGTAGAATAGTCTGTACTTGATTGATGTCTGTACTTGATTCAGTTGTATAACACAAAACCAACAGTATGTTTTCTTCGCGCAATAGTGCGTTCTAAAAGCATTGTTTCGATTTTTTTTTTCAAACTGGGAGACACGGTTAGAGATCACATCATTTCGTGTATACACATCCACCTACTCTTTTATCTCTTTCAAGTTTATAACTAGAATAATTTAAAATTCTTATTTTATCTTCACTTATCCCTTGATGTAACCACGACTGACAAGCGACCAACTATTACTACTACAAGAGGACGTTCGTCAGAAACTAAAATTTTCAAGTGGTCAATTTTTTTAATGTGTTTGTGTTTCTGCCGAACAACTGACTCTAGTAGACTACATATTTTCAAAAGTACTATGATGTGAGTGTTATCGTTCTTTTTCGATGTTTTGGTTGACAACGTAAGGAAAAGATAAAATCTCAACAATAGAAAAGATCTTACCCCGTTAGTCTTAGGAAGAATCAAAGCAAAAAGCATGCAGTTAGCTTATGAGAAGAAGAAAGAAATATGATAAATACGTTTTACGTATTTAACAAAATCAAATATTAGGCACAGACGACTGATGTATATAACTATTGTAAAGACAGAAAGATTATAAAGAGAAAAATACATTAAGGAGTAAACATTTTTTGATCTGTATATACAAGAAATCTTATTATAAAATGTCTGTTTGACAGCATCAAAAGTCTACCTTGTTATTAAGCTGTATTAATATTATTATTTTCGTTTTCAGATGGATTTTGTTGAGATGTTGAAACAAGCGAAGCTAAGGCTGAATCTTGTTAACGAATATGTTGTTTTTCTTTAGGAACATTATCAGCCATAGTTATTGGTCGCATTGATTTATCAAGTTGTATACGACAGACATGACCATTTCTCGTTACAATACATTTCTGTTCAGCATCACTGACTGAATTACGTGCAGCATGAAATAAAGCTAATCTAGGTTTACTTAGATCTTCGACAATAAATGCTTTTGATTTTGTTGTTTCAATAAATATGTTTTTGACAATTTTCAATCTCGTTCGATGATAGTTGTGTAGTTAGATGCTGATTATGATGGAACAACATGTTTTTCCCTATAGACCATTGCTGAAAAT